CAGGAAGGCAATCCAGCATCCTCCAAGCTGATAGAAATTTAGGACACATTAACACTAAAGATATTTAAAGCAGCTAGGGTGTGACAGCACAGGCAGTCTTCCTTATTACTGATTCATTTCTTGAACACAGGACCACAAGAAGAGTCTCGCTGGATCACACAAAGTGGTTTTGTTGCCATCCTGTATCCAACAGTGGACAACGGAAGTGCATAAAGGACCCAGTGCATAAAGGACCCAGCAGAGCTCTGGAAATTTACTCTTCTTTGGACAACAACGCCCAGAATTTCCAGTAAGTATGACTACTTGTTGACAAGCAAACATCTTTCCTTTAAAAAAAAAAAAGGCAATGGCCACCACCACATTAAAGGAGACTATTAAAGGAAGCATGAGATACAAATAGTTAAAATCCAAGGGAGGGAGGAGGGAGGTAGTGAGAGAGAGAAAAACATTTGAAAGTCCTACATGGAGTTAGCTCTGTGTTTGATTGTGATATCATTGTATGTGTATAAAAGGAAAGTGTCAGATATCAGAACCAAGACCTCAAATACCTGGCATTTCTCCTGACCACATAATCCAAGGACATTACCATGACCTACAGAAATTGCTTGGTGTTCTGCAAAGCCAGATGTTGCTTACTGCGAGTTGATGAAAATACTGCCTGTCAGGAATCCCGAAGAACATTCTGTAATTTCACTGCATGGAAGACACAGAGATCCTCAAGGTGTACACATCTTGGAGTACATATGTATGACAGAACAGCCGTAAGTGCCAACATGGTAGGAAGAAATCAAGCTGTTGCACATTTCCAAGGTTTATAAAATTGAAAGAGAGAGATTGGGGAAAAATCCCCACCACTACTAATAGACTTGGAATGATCCAACAAAACTGGTCTCGGATTAATGAAAACATGCCCCATTTACTCAACACAAATGGATCTAAACTCAATAACACTGTGTAACAAAATCTGGAAAAAATCTGTTCCTGGTTTGAAAGTGTTATTCCTGTTTAAATGTGCAATCCTTACTTTGAAAGTAGTTGTTATATTCCCAAAACTTCATTTGTATGGCTGGCACAAAATATGTTGAATTGGCTGAGACTCAATGCGAGATTCATTGAAAAACTATAGCAAAATGTGCTGCAGGATGTCCTGCAAAAACAAAAGTTTTTGTAGTTTAATAAATTTTCCATGTTTTTTTAAATGATAGAACCAATTACAAAATGACATTTATAACTCAGGAACAAAAATTGGGTTACATAGTGTAATACAGGGGTCCTCAAACTAAGGCCCGGGGGCCGGATGCGGCCCTCCAAGGTCATTTACCCGGCCCTCGCTCAGGGTCAGCCTAAGTCTGAAACTACTTGAAAGCAACAACAACAACCCTATCTCATCAGCCAAAAGGAGGCCCACACTTCCCATTGAAATACTATTAAGTTCATATTTGTTAAAACTGTTCTTCATTTCAATTATTGTATTGTTTTAAAGTGTTATTTGTACTACAAATAAGATATGTGCAATGTGCATTCATTCATGGTTTTTTTTTTCAAATTATAATCCGGCCTTCCAACAGTTTGAAGGACTGTGACCTGGCCCTCTGTTTAAAAAGTTTGAGGACCCCTGGTGTAATACATCAAACAAGTCAACTGAAATAAATGGGATAATTTACGTTCAAATTTAAATAGGCAACTTTAAACATATTGTTGTCATTGTGTGCCTTCAACATGTTTCCACTTTTTTGGAAAATGGCATTTACAAATGACATTTTGGGAAAACCAGGAATCTCCACAAGCTTTTGGAAGTGTGGCCCTTTTGGAGATTAGTTGGCATTCACACTATTTGGAATAATCATAACCTATTGGAAAGGCATGACCTTGTTAGAGATCGTAACCTTTTGTAAAGTATGATCTTCCTGAGAAGAGTTAAAAACTCACTTGAGTTAGCCTTCACCTAAATATCCATTCATGCAAGGCAATTTAGGTTTCTCAGCTATTAAGATTGAAATCCCTGGATATCTCTTTGAACTGTCAGGAACAAAGATATGCCAATGCACAAAAAAACAAAACAAAAACAGAGTTTCAAGACCAGCATTTGAAGTAGCTTCTCTGTACAGATAACACAGGCCAGCTTTCTTGTGATCAACTGTCCAAAGTCTAAAGTATCTCTGTGTTCTGGGAGTCGAATGGAGTCTGTACAGCCTGAATAGTCTGATAGCACCTGTCTTTCTAAAATGGAGTCTGAGATCTGAAAAGTTCCAGATCTGGTCACATGGTCTGCAGTCCCTCCCACAACATAGAGTTAAGGAAAACTGTATACCAATACACACTTATACAATATAATAAGCAATCCAAATTATATACATGTAGAAAGTTGTTATTTCCAACGTTCACTTTATGGTAACCTAAGGCAACCCTTCACCCTTTCCAGAGTTGCGAGTGTGGGATTCATCCAAAGTTGTGCAGTGCATTTCCATGCCGAACCAGGAGTGGCTGTAATCCTGAAGAACATTGCTGCATCATTAGTCCTGCTTGTTAATTTGGTGATTCTAATTATGTGCTGAGTTGACTCCAATAATTATGCAACATATAAAGTGTCTCTTTTTGTTTTGGCTGCAAAAAAAAGATCAGAATGAGAGAACTAGATAAAATTGCCACAATAAGGTTTAGACAATGACACAATGGTGTGGAGCAGGCATGGGCTTAAACAGCTAAGGGGGAAAAGGAAGGGGTCTGAGGCTATTAGGAATAATGGGAGTTGAGGTTCAAAACACCTGGAGGGCCCAAGTTTGCCCATGCCTGGTGTGGAGTGAAGGCTGGAGCTGGTTCAAGGTTTATGCCCTACTTAATTTAGACAATGGTGTCACTAGGGTTAATCACCCCAGTGTGGTAACTCATGGTGTCATCTCCAGGAAGAAGACCTACAAGAAGCACTGCTTGAATATCAAGCAAAAGTGGCGCTAGAAACAATTATCATACAAAGGCTGACTGGCAAAACCTGGGGATCACAACCAGACACAGTGAAGACATCTGCTAATGCAGTTTGCGGAGTACGCATGCCCAGTGTGGAACACATCTCACCATGCTAAAACAGTGGATGTGGCTCTTAATGAGACATTACATATTATCACAGGATGTCTATGCCCCACACCACTGGAGGAATTACACTGTTTAGCCAGTATTGCACCACCTGACATCCTCCGGGAAGTAGCAGCCAATAATGAAAGGACCAAGGTAGTGATATCTCTGGCCCATCCTGCCTTAAATCGAGAAAGAGCTTCCTAAGATCTACAGAGATACTTGCAGGAACACCTCAGTAAGTGAGAGTCCAAAAGTGGCAGGCTAAAACCCAGAACCTCAATCTATGGCTGATATCAGATGAGAGACTCCCTCCTGGGCACACAGAAGACTGGGTGACTTGGAAGGCGCCTGCACAGACTGTGTTCTGGCACCACGAGATGCAGAGCCAAGCTTAAGAAATGGGGCCACAAAGTGGAGTCCACGACATGCGAGTGTGGACAAGAGCAAACCACAGACCAAATATTACAATGCAGCCGGAGCCCTGCCACATGCACAGTGGAGGATCTTCTTATAGCAACCCCAGAGGCACTCCAGGTGGCCAGCTACTGGTCAAAGGATGGCTGGCCAGAATGCTAAGATAGCACACCAAACAGCCCTTTTCCTTTATAAAGCAACGCAGCTGAGAACTGTGTATCTGGAGGCGATTGGGGTCAACTGTAGGGGTGACGCAGATATCTGAAGTGGCTTGGGATTTTGTAATAGCTGGCCTATTTTAACCTTCATTTTAATCTTCGTTTTTAATTTTTGTGGTATGAAATTTTATCTTGACATTTTAATGATAATATTTTTAGTCATCTTTTAACCTAATGTGTGTTGGTTCACTGTTGTGGGGGTCTTGGGATGGTGATTGTTGTCTGTTTGTGCACGTGTCTGTTTTTGTTTTTAATGTTGATGCGGTCAATAGACTATTCAATAAACTTTGCTTTGCTTTACTGGTCAAAGGACATTTAATATAATTGCCAAGTTTTTTAAACTTTGAGTTTTCTTTTAAATACATTGCAACTGTATCCTGTTGAAGGAAAATTCTGAGAGTGCCTTGGACCGCAAGAAGATCCAACCAATCCATACTTCAGGAAATAAAGCCTGACTGCTCATTGGAGGGAAGGATATGAGAGGCAAAGATGAAGTACTTTGGCCACATCATGAGAAGACAGGAAAACTTGGAAATCACAATGATGCTTGGGAAAATGGAAGGAAAATGGAAGAGGGCTGACCAAGGGCAAGATGGATGGATGGTATCCTTGAATTGACTGGCTTGACTCTGAAGGAGCTGGGGGTGGGGACGGTTGACAGGGAGCTCTGGCGTGGGCTGGTCCATGAGGTCATGAAAAGTCAGAAGAGACTGAACAAATAAACAAGAAAAGAATTTCCCTTTTCTCAACAAAAGATTTTCCCAGGCTCAGGCAGGCCTTCAAATGCTAATGAAGGTGGTCAGTTGAAACATTCACACCTAGCTCTAGCAGAGAAGAGCTCTTTGCCCCACCCCAGCCATTCCACAGATATATAAACCCATTGTCCTATTTCCAACAGACCTCACTACCTCTGAGGATGCTTGCCATAGATGCAGGCGAAACGTCAGGAGAAATGCCGCTAGAACATGGCCCTATAGCCCGAAAAAACCCACAAGAACCTAGTGATTCCAGCCATGAAAGCCTTCGACAATACAAGAAAAGAATTGCATCCTGATACGATAAATAAAAATCAAAAGAAAGAGAACAAGGCTAAGTCCCTTTGACGTTTCCAAAGACTCTGGGGAATAACCGTGTAAGGTCAATCTGTCTGTCTACCTCTCTATCTATCCACCCACCCATCCTCTGGATTCCTTTTTTGATGGCTCTGAACGCCTGGAGGAGAGGCAGGAGCGCCGGGTCCCTTGGAGATCCCCGAGGCCCCGCCCCCGCCAATAAGAGCCATCGTTCCTATTTATGAGCCAACCTGAGCCAATGAAGCGGCGGGCCAAAGAAGTTGAAAGAAGTCGGGGCGAAAGTGGGCAGAAGTTTCCTCGGGCCGCCCAGGAGCGCTGCCTCTCCGCCGGGCAGCAGGTGGAGGCTGGCTCTCCCTCGTCCCTCTCCATGCGTGGCCTCTGGGGAAAGGAAGGGGCGCCCTGGGGAGCGGCCAGGCTGGGCCTCCTCTGGGCGGCGGTGCTCCTGCTCCTCGAGCTCTGCCCCGGAGGCGCCCGAGGACACTGGAGGTGAGTAGGAGCAGCCCAGGAAAGAAGCCCAGAGGGGGTTGGAGCCGCGCAAGGGGTCAGCCCGTCCACCTTCCCTCCTTCCTTTCCTCCCTCCCTCCCTTCCTCCCTACTACCTTCCCTCCTTTCCTCTCTCCCTCCCTTATTTTCTCCCCTCCCTCCCTTCTTCTTTCCTTCCTTTCCTCCCTTCTTCCCTCTTTTCCTTCTTTCCTTCCTTCCCTCCCATCCTTTCCATCCTTTCCTCCCTCTCTCCTTTCTTTTTTTTCCTTTTTCCTTCCCTCCTTTTCTCTTCTCCTTCCTCCTTCTTTCTCTTTTCTCCTTCTTTCCTTCCTTCCTTCCTTCCTTCCTTCCTTCCTTCCTTTTTCTTCCTTTCCTTCCTTCCCTCCCTCCCCTTTCTTTCCTTCTTTCTCCTTCTCCTCCCTCCTTCCTTCTTTTTCTTCCTTCCTTCCTTCCTCCTTCTTCCCCCCCTTCCTCCCTCTTCCTTTCTTTCCTTCCTTCTTTCTTTCTTCTCTCCCCCTCCTTCCTTTTTTCTTTCCTTCCTCCTCTCTTTCCTTTTTTCATTCTCTCCTTCCTTCCTTCCTTCCCCTTCCTTCCCTTTCCTTCCTCCTCCTTTTTCCTTTCTTCTTCTCTCCCTCCTCCCTCCCCTCCTTCTTTTCTTTCTTTCTTTCCTCCCTCCTTCTTCCCTTTTTTCCTTCTTTCTTACCTTCTCTCCTTCCTCTTCTATTCTTCCTTCCTAACTTCCCTCCCTCGTTCCTTTTCCTACCTTCCTTCCTTCCTTCCTTCCTTCTTACCCAACCTCCTTCCTTCCCTCCCTTTTTCCCTTCTCCTTTTCATTCCCCCTTTCCTTCCTTCTTTCCCTCCCTCTTCCTTCCTTCCTTCCTTCCTTCCTTCCTTCCTTCCTTCCTTCCCTTCAGTAAGTGCCTAGCACCTTGCACCCAGAAGTTCTAGCATTGGAGACGAGCAAGAGGTCTTTTCATATGTGCAGGATTAAAAAAAAAATCTCCCTGGTCTACAATACAGAGTCAACCCTCCCTATGCACAGATCCTGTCATCCATGCATTTAACCATCCACAGTTTTAAAACATTCTCCCCTCAACTTACCAAAAGCAAACCTTGCACTTGCCATTTCATATAAAAGGGACACTGTTTTCTATATATAATGGGACTGGAGCATCCATGGATTTTGGTATCCACAGGGGCCCTGGAAGCAAACCCCAGCAGGAACCGACAGCCCACTGGAAAACTCTAATCTGAAAATCCGCAACATTCCCAAACTTAAAATGGTCCACATGGGTGGATGAGTGACACCTTAAACTTCCTGGTGCATTTATGTATACTACACTTTATTTCTTAAGCAATATTATTACAAAACCTGTCTACTGGTGCCTTGGTATCTAATATGTTTAAGTCTCCTGACACCCTGCTTTTTTTTTTTAACCAAATTCCGTGGATGCTCAAGTACCATTATAAGCATAGGGTGCTGCAAATGCTTTCAAGCCATGGATACAGAATCTGTGGATATGGAGGGCTAACAATGTAGAATTACCTTCAGGTGATATGAAATATAAATGAATCTCCAAGATATGCTATTATGCTATTATGTATATGCAAATATTCTGTTATGTAGAAAAATTCTAAACTCAAAGTACTGGTGGTCCCATTCTTTTTGGCTAAGGAATGTTTTGCCCATAGTAGGAACCATTCCTTTTTGCATAAATCCCTTTATTTCTATTTCAGCTTTTCCCCAGGAGTAGGATCCAAAGTAGTTTACAGAATGGATGCTGCCCACAGATTGATTTTACTTTATTTTCATGGTGAAGTGAGGAGTGGGTTGCAAACATTGTTTTTTGCCACACGATCACATTTGGGGTGTAGCTTACAGGTGGCACCAAATGTTGTGCCATTCCCCTGCCTTAAATTAGAATGTTGCCTTCCCCATAACATTTCCCTTCTGTTCCCAGATCTCAAGCATTGCACTCTCTTCACTTGAACATGGAGAAATGTAGTTTAGGCATCCAAAGAAAAAGGGGCTGGCACAGTCGCCAAGGGAATGCAAACAAAGCAAAAGACTTTAGGGTGTGAACTATTTTCAGTGCCCGTCTCTACAATGTTAGGTATTTGGGTACTGAAGGAAATTTTAATCCAAATACAGAATTTTCATTTGGAGGTGAGGTGTTCTCATGTTGACCCGTTAGCAACACTTTCTAGATTTGTGTTGTTAAAGGCTTTTATGGCCAGAATCACTGGGTTGCCGTGATTTTTGTATGGCCATGTTCCAGAAGCATTATCTCCTGATGTTTTGCCCACACCTATGGCAGGTTTCTTAAGAGGTTGTGAGGTCTGTTGGAAACTAGACAGGTGAGGTTTATATATCTGTGGAATGTCCAGGGTGGGAGAAATAACTCTTGGCTTTTTGAGGCAAGTGTGAATCTCTGGATTATGGGATGATTTAAAACCCAGGTCACTTCCTTCGAAAACAAGCTTTTTTGAAAGAAGAAGAATCATTTTTTTAAATCAGAAGAAAAGAATTCTTCTGAAAGTCCAAGGGACTTTTCTATTCCAGAGACAGAAGACCGTCTGAAAATGCACATGTCAAAATGCTGAAAAACTGTAAAACTTTCATACCTCTTTACTGTCCTAGATTCATATTTTTCACCAGGGGTTAATTCTACATTGCATCTTTTAAAATAGAAAAAAGAGGGGTCACCGAAGACCATCAGAAAACACAGTATTTTCTGTTGGTGATGGGTGTTATGTGTGGAAAGTTTGGCCCAATTCTATCATTGGTGAGATTCAGAATGCTCTTTGACTGTAGGTGAACTATAAATCTCAGCAATTACAACTCCCAAATTCTACATCTATAGTCCCTAAACTCCACCAGTGTTCATATTTGGGCATATTGAGTATCTGTGCCAAGTTTGGTCCAGATCCATCATTGTTTGAGTCCACAGTGCTCTCTGGATGGAGGTAAACTACAACTTCCAAACTCAAGGTCAATGCCCACCAAACGCTTCCAGTATTTTCTGATAGTCATGTGGGTTCTGTGTGCCAAGTTTAGTTCAATTCCATCATTGGTGCAGTTCAGAATGCTCTTTCATTGTGGGTGAACTATGAATCCCAGCAACTACAGCTCCCAAATGACAAAATCAACCTCCCCAACCCCAGCAGTGTTCAAATTTGGGCATATCGGGTATTTGTGCCAAATTTCATCCAGTGAATGAAAATACAGCCCTCTCCCTTGTCCCCATAAACCGTGAATGAATTTGACATGAAACAAATAAATCATAGTATATTGTAGTATTATGATTTCACTTTAACTATCATAGCTGCATACTGTGGAATTCTGGGATTTGTAATGATGATGGAGCACTACAGATTCTCAATCTGTAGGTCCCCAGATGTTTTGGCCTTCAACTCCCCTGGTAAATTGGCTGGGATTTCTGGGAATTGTAGGCCAAAACACCTGGGGACCCACAGGTTGAGAACCATTGCTCTAGTACTTTCTGGCTGAGAATTCAAGTATCTCATAGGATATGGCCAATGCAGTTTAAATGGAATCATATAACTATTATTGTACAATCTTCTGGATGAAGGAAAGTGAAATCAACATGCTTTTCTTAGAGGAAGGAATGTTTCTTGTGTAGATACAGTCCTTTTCAACATCAACTGTGTCCCCACCTACAGTGACTATTTAATGAAGTTCAAAGCTATCTGCATTGGCCAGACGACAAATACGCAGAAAACCATGCAGAAGAAAGCCCTTAATGTGCTCTGTGATTTATTTAATGACCATCTGGGCCTCAACTAGTTCCAGGATTTTCTATATAATCGTCTGCATAGTGAAACTATTTTATTCAGCATCGAATGGTCAATGTAGATGGGGGCATATGTGGATTCCAAATTCTTAATGTCAGAACAGCTGCCTGACCCACACTACTTCATCTGAAATCATCTCCTTTTATCAAGAACTGAACAATCTGTCCCTGACCTCTTTGGCCTGGAGCTCAGCCATGCTGGCAGGGTGATTTGGGGTATTGTAGTCTACTAAAAGTAGGTTTTCCAAACTCTGCTTTTGATTTCAAGATTATCATGCAATGAAGGGAGTTCTGTCTGTAATGATACAGCAGGCTGGTCTTTTTAATATTTGGTGGCTACAGAATATGTTTTGACAAGAATTTGAGAATACTGTTCCTTGCAGTATTTCCAGAAGGAATTCTGTGATCATGGTCCAGTACTTACAATCCAGCTCAGAGAATCCTTCCTAGAAATTATTTAAGAATTAACAGAGATATTGACAAGCTGGAACATGTCCAGAGGAGGCAACTAAAAGGATTGAAGTCTGGAAATCATTCCCCATGAGGAGCATCTTAAAGAGCTGGGGATATTTAGCCTGCAGAAGAGAAGGTTGAGTGGAGATATGATAGGCATGTGAAAGGATGCCATAAGGAAGAGGAAGCAGGCTTTTTTCTGCATGTCCTAGGACCCAGAGCAATGGATTCAAATTACAGGGAAGGAAATTCCAATTGGCCATTAGGAAAAACCTCCTGACTGTGATAGCTGTTCAATGGTGGAACTCCCTGCCTTGAAGTGTCGTGGAAGCTTCATCCTTGGAAGCTTTTAAACATTAGCTGGATGGCCATTTGTTGGGGGTACTTTGATTGTCCTTTTCCTGCCTGGCAGGGGGTTGGACTGGATGGCCCATGTGCTCTCTTCCATGTCTATAATTCTATGAATATATGGGGATCATTAAAAAAAAAGACAAACCTTAACACCAGGTGGTTCAGAATTGATCCAAAACAATTTACTGTTCAGGGAGAATCATAAAATGATATCTCACACCCTCCAAATCAAAGTATCTACCCCAGGCCTGGGCAAACTTTGGCCCTCAAGGTGTTTTTGGATTTCAGCTCCCACAATATCTAACAGCCTCCCAGCTGCTAGGAATTGTGGAAGTCAAAGTCCAAAACACCTAGAAGGCCAAAGTTTGTCCAGGCCTGGTCTACCCTCATACACATGTCTAAGTCTTGAAATGTTGGTCAAGAAAATCAACACTAAAAACTGGGTCAACCTATCTAGTGTCAGTGTTTGACTTTCCCACATCTGTCGATCAAATGGAAAGTGACACTGTTTTGAATCCACAATTACTTTTTAAAACCATCTTCCGCTGACAATGGGCAGTTCCCACCAAAAAGGGCTTTGAAGTTGTCAGGCACATCCGCTGCAAAGCTTGGTAGCAGCAATCCTCGTTATGATTGTATCAGTCCCTCTTTTTTTTGGCTGTGGTTAATTGAGGCTGACTCACTGAGTCAGCTTTGATAGCTGACCTGCTCTGCCATAAAGCAAGCACAGCACAGCAGTGATTCAGCCACAAAATTTCAATCCTTGCTGATTTGTCTTATTTCAAGTACTTATCATTCCAGATCTCTTGTGGACAAACTGCTGCTTGCTGGGGAAGCAGCATTTTGGAAGCACTCTGTTTTCACTAACAAACTCCAGATGTAATCCAGTGAAAATGAGAAAGGATTGTTTATGGGATACTCCCAGCTCCCGGAATGTGCTATTTATTGGCTTGTATTTCAAGACTGGGAAACCTTTTGTCCTCCAGGTATTTTGGATTAAAACTCCCATTGTCCTATATCATTAGCCATGCTTGGCAGACTAATGGGCAGCAGTTGGTGGATTCCATGTCAGTGAGGTGGAGAATCCACCCTGTGTATTAGTCTAGGCTTTGAAACAGTTGTCCAAGGGGCTGAACCTATTTTGGAGGTAGCATTCAGCACATTGGATAGCTCCTAAAACTTAGAGTGGATTAACATCCCACTGACAAGGAAACCTCCAGTTGCCTCTGAATCCAATGGGAGTTGTGATTCAAAACATATGGAGGACCAAAGGTTCTTCACCCCTTCTACAATGGCTTGGTCAATGGCTGGCAGGGTCTTCTAATGGCAAAGATTCTACATAGAACGGGTAGTACATAAATTTATTTATTTATTTATTTATTTATTTACTTTATTTGTATACCGCTCTTCTCAGCCCTTGGGCGACTCAGAGTGGTTTACAACAGTTTAAATATACAGGATACAAAATCATTATGCATTTAATAAACAAAAGCATCACAAGTCATTAACATCATTAACATCATTAACATCAGCATCAAAAACATCAATACACCAATATAACAAATCCATCTGGTCTAGTCAGTGAAATCAGAATCCAAAACTCGTTATCCATTATTCCATGTTCCAATAATTAGTCAATCAATCACACTGCTTAGTCGAATGCCTGTTCAAACATCCAGGTCTTTACTTTTCTCTGGAATGCCAGCAAGGAGGGGGCCGATCTAATATCTGCAGGAAGGGCGTTCCACAGCCGAGGGGCCACCACTGAGAAGGCCCTGTCTCTCGTCCCCGCCAGGCGTGCTTGTGAAGCCAGTGGGATCGAGAGCAGGGCCTCCCCAGACGATCTTAATGTCCTAACATAAAGCCCCACCTGGGCTATTTTGAGTTCTCCCGCCACCACCCAGGCAGCTATCATATTCCAGGTTGGGCTTCTGCTGGTGCAGAGGAATTGGAAAGGGGGGAACGGAACTGCCATATGCACATTACCTAAAATCCTTCTTCCTCCCCGAAGGTGTCCTCCTCTTTCTTCTCCATAGAGCCCAGAAAAGTGCATTGTCTCAATTGTCTTTCTCTCCTCACCACTGTTAAGCAATAGGCCCCTCCTGGAACTGGATAATTTGTGGAGGGTTATGCAAAGGGTTAGAAAATACATAAGTCACACTTATACATGAATATGAGAATGGCACTAACAGGATTCTGTGCATGATATACTTGTTTATGCTTTCCAGGAATCCAGTCTTTTGACCTAGTCCCCACCCCATCTGCTTATCTGTTGTGCCTACGTTGTATGACATTCATCTATGTAAAATGAAATGTTTGGTGCTTTGGGTCTCACCCCAGGGACTGCTTTTGCAGGTGGCTAGGCATTGTTTCCTTTGGTGTCCCAGAGAAACTGGGTTGCACCAGCCTGCCTCTGAATGGCCGCCAGAAAGACCTATGCAAGAAGAAACCATACCTCTTGCCCACCATCCGGGAAGGAGCCCGACTAGGCATACAGGAATGCCAGAGTCAATTCAAACATGAGCGGTGGAACTGCGTCTTCTCCCCAGAGTCAACTAGTTCGCTTTCTACCAACCCTTCAGCCATCACGGGAGAGCCTCGTTCCCCCATCTTTGGCTATGAGCTGAGCAGTGGTAGGTATTCAAAAATTAAAAAAAATCATTTTCCCATCAGTCCTAGCCAATATATTGGGAACTGCAGTCTGAAAATATATGAATAGCCACAGTGGTGCCCATTATATTAGCAATGGTGGGTAATCATTGCCCCACCAAATATTTTGGGGCACAGTCCTTAGACCCTTACCATTGATCATGCTTGAAGTCTGAAACATCTGGATAGACAACAGCTCACAACTCCTGGATTAAAATCAGTGTTCAACATTTCCATTTCAGGGATTTCTAGACACAATGTTGAAAAAAGCTTCCAGTGTTGTTGAAATCCTGCAAAATGGCTGGCAAGTGGGCAAGATGTAGCAACTGCCCAAAGAAAATAGTGATTCTATTTCTGAACCTGGTTCAACCATTTTAGAAATGCTTTAGTAGTTAATTTGTTAATTTTGGAAGAAGGCTGGGTGAATTCATTAGAGCCCTTTGGAAATTTCACTATGTGCTGCAGTCCTGGATATACGAGATTTTAGCATTTTGATCCCAACCCAAATCAATTTGGCCCAATTTCAGTCTCATTTGGAAACAGTTGTAACTCAATTATCCCAATGATTTTAAGTGGACTTCATTTGAAAAGGGCAAATATGCTTTTAGAGAACCATCCTGACAGCTGTAAATTGCAGAAGTTAGAAAAGTTAGTGTTGGGGGGCTGGATGAAAACAGCAAGTTCTAGAATCCCCAATGGATATTGCCTTTGTATTCCAAACAAACATAACACTTTCCATGCTCTGATAAATAAGCATTCTTAACTTTTATCTGGCCAGAGACATGTGCTACAGATCTTCTGAGCAATATTTCTTCCATTCTCTTGCAGGTACCAAAGAAACCGCATTTATCTATGCAGTGACTGCAGCTGGCCTGGTGCACTCAGTGACTCAGTCTTGCAGTGCAGGGAATATTACAGAATGCTCCTGTGACCCCAAGCTGCAGAGTGGTGGCTCTGCCAGTGAGGGGTGGCACTGGGGTGGTTGCTCAGATGACATCCACTATGGTATGTGGTTGAGTAGAAAGTTCTTAGATGGTCCCACTGCAAACATCACTGGAAAAGCTGGGCGTGGATTGATAGCAATGAACCTACACAATAACGAAGCAGGAAGACTGGTAAGGAGTTGAATTTCCCCCTGAATTTTCTTTTCCTTCTATTTATTTTGAATTCCACCAAGGTAGAGAAATACTCCAGCCTTTTTACATGGTTTCAGGCTTCATTTGACTATCCTATAGAAGCCTCAGTATTCATTGGAATTTTGTAGGTCCCCAGATGTTTTGGCCTTCAACTCCCAGAAATCCCACCAACTGGTAAACAGGATGGGATTTCTGGGAGTTGTATTGCAAACCACCTGGGGACCCACAGGTTGAGAACCACTGCCCTAAGAGATGTGGGCAGGGGAGGAGAACATGGGAAGGTTGATACTCTCCAAGTCTCATAGCAGCCCAGCAAGTCCACCAATCTACCATATTAGATGCCCATCACAGTTGTAGGCAATTGTTATTGTTCTGTGCCTTCACAACAACAACTAAGTGGAAATAGCAGTACCACCTCTGAGTATTCCTTGCCTAAGAACACCCTATGAAATCCATAGGTTGCCATAAGTTAACAGGCAGCTTGAAGATGCACACACAAAGTATTGTTGTTAATGGAAGATCAAGGAAGAAATGGCTGTTGTCTGATTTTGGATTGGCTTATTTAATTTTTCCCCAGGCTGTAGCAAAACTGATGTCAGTGGATTGTCGTTGTCATGGAGTATCTGGCTCATGTGCCCTGAAAACATGCTGGAAGACAATGTCGTCCTTTACAAAGGTTGGCAGTTTTCTAAAAGAGAAGTATGAAAACAGTGTCCAGATTTCAGATAAACTGAAAAAGAAGATACGCAGGAAAGAAAAAAGCCAGCGGAAGATCCCCATCCACAAAGAAGATCTGTTGTATGTCTACAAGTCACCCAACTACTGTGTAGAAGATCGTAAGCTGGGAATACCTGGAACCCAAGGCAGGGTGTGCAATCGTACTTCAGAAGGACCAGATGGCTGCAACCTCCTCTGCTGTGGCCGTGGATACAATACGCATGTCGTCAGACATGTGGAAAGATGCGAGTGCAAGTTTATCTGGTGTTGCTACGTCCGTTGCCGAAGATGTGAGACCTTGACTGATGTTCACACTTGCAAATGAAACTTCCTGCTCCAAAAATAAATGACAAAACACCCTCTGTAGTACTCTTCCTAGGAGTACACTGGAGCAATGTGCCAAGACAAAGATTGGTTCCTATGGAGAGGGCAATCTTGATCACAAGTGGAGATCTGGATTGCTTGAGGACATTGTGTCATGAGATGATATCTTTAAATAACTCTGTCTAGCATGGCTGGAGATTGTCATTGTTTAGATAAGTTGCCTTAATCAACACAATGGCAGAGCAAAGCTGGAAAGGCCTGGTGTAGTAGTTCAGATGCTGAAATGATGCACCATATGAAATTCATCACTCTTCTATATTTAGGAGACTCTGTTTAGGGAGACCTATGTAAGCAAAACACTGCCAGTGGGTTTACAGCTATTTGACCAGCAGCTGGAATTTGGAGGGGAAAAAAACTAAGCTTGGCAGCACACCTCAGCTATGGTTAAAGAAGGAAAGGCATGGATAATTCCAATGGACATTTTAATGTGGGAATTATAAGTCATTTAACAAAATTGTGTTGGAATACATATAAGTTAAAGCAAATGGTCTACAGCTAGAGTGAGTGAAGTGTGCTTCTTCAAATGTTGAGCTGGAGCTCTTAGAAACTCTAGCCAGCCTAGACAATGATGTGGAAGACTGGAAGTTAAAGAGATAAAGGGCTAAACTTTGGGTGTATATGATGTATAGTTTAGTATTGTCTTCTTTCTTCCATGTACCCCTGTTCCAGTTTTCTCTAAGAGTTCATTTTGGACAGGGATGAAATGTTTGGCCCTCCAGATACTTTGGTCTGCAACTTCCTTTGCAGCAGCATGTCCAGTGGTAAAGAAATGTGGGAGCTGACAATCTGGAGCACAAAATATTCCACATGCCTCATTTAGGACAAAGATGGACCTGTATGCCATAGTATCCTTCAGAGCAATCATTACCTGAGACAAGCACATTTTTTCCTATGGAGGTGTGCTGATTTTATTTATTTTATTTTATGATTTTGTCATGTTCAACTGACAATGTCTCCATATTCTTTATTTTTAAGAATAAATATGCTATTGCTAATATTTTCTTTTTTGGAATGTAACACAGCACGTCCCGTGTGAACTGTGATGTAAATATCTGGGGCAGAGATCCATGAGTAGATTTTTGTGAAACAATTTATCTATGTAAAATGGCCATTGCTGCAGAGCCACCCACTTTGCTCCTGCAGTGTGCTAGATGAAACTTAGGCCCCTTCCACACAGCTGCATAAAATCCACATCGAACTGGATTATATGGCAGTGCGGACTCAGATAATCCAGTTATGGATTATCTGCCTTGATATTCTGAGTTATATGGCTGTGTGGAAGGGCCCTGATACAAGCACTGCACATGAGAAAGGGATCTAGGAGTCTTAGGCCCCTTCCACACAGCTGTACAAAATCCACATTGAACTGGATTATATGGCAGTGTGGACTCAGATAATCCCATTCAAAGCAGATATTGTGGATCATCAGCCTTGGTATTCTGGGTTATATGGCTGTGTGGAAGGGCTCATAGTAGACCACAAACTGAACATGAATCAAGAGTATGATATATTAGCTTTAAAAAGCCAATGCTGCATCAATAGGAGCATAACATCCAGATCGAGAGATGTAATAGTGCCATTCTATTCTGCTTTGGTCAGACTTTGTCTGGAGTAGTGTGTCCAATTCTGAGCATGGCAACTCAAGAAGTATATTGACAAGCTGGGACATATATAGTAAAAGTTCTGGAAACCACAGCCTGTGAGGAATGACTCAGGGTCCTTCCACACAGCCATATAACCCAGAATATCAAGGCAGAAAATTGCACAATATCTGCTTTGAACTGGGTTCTCCGAGTCCACACTGTCATATATTCCATTTCAAAGCAGAAAATGTGAGATTTTATTTAGCTGTGTGGAAGGAGCCCCAGAAATCTGGATATGTTTAACATTGAGAAGAAAAGGTTAAGAGTGGACCTGATAGCCGTCTTTAAATATTTGAAAGGGTGTCATACTGAAGATAGAGCAAGCATGCTTTCTGTCGTTCCAGAGACGAGGACATAAAACAATGGATTCCAACATTTGGAACAACTTCCTAATGGTAAGAGCTGTTTGATAGTAAAGTATACTGTCTCAGAGTGTGGTGAAGTCTCCTTCTCTGAAGGTTTTAAAACAGAGATTGGGTGACCACCTTTTGGGAGTGCTTTGATTCCTATATGGCAGGGAGTTGGACTGGATGGTCCTTGCAGTCTTTTCCAATTCCCCTCCCCAAATAGTCTATAAGTTGGGGTAGAAATCATATGAATCTCCAAATGGTGTTGACTAACATATCCAGTGGTAAAAAAAAACAAACAAAACAAAAAACAGGACCTGCATTCCAGTAGTGTCTGGTGGGCCACATGGTATACACCCCTGAGATGTATGGATTCCAATTGGGTTAATTGACATTACTACTCTACGTCAAGAAGCCCCCGGTGAAGCAGTGGGTTAAAGCGATGAGCTGCTGAACTTGCTGACCAAAAGGTTGCAGGTTTGAATCCGGGGAGCAGCATGAACTCCCACTGTTAGCCCCAGCTTCTGCCAACCTAGCAGTTCGAAAACATGCAAATGTGAGTAGATCAATAGGTACTACTTCTGCGGCAAGGTAACAGTGCTCCATGAAGTCATGCTGGCCACATGACCTTGGAGGTGTCTACGGACAACGCTGGCTCTTTGGCTTAGAAATGGAGATGAGCACCAACCCCGAGTCAGACTCGACTGGACTTAATGTCAAGGGAAAATCTTTACCTTACCTGCTCTACATCTGCACTGAGAAATGATTCTTCCGATGGCGTAGGACACACATTTTTCCAAGCCTAGTCAGTATAGCCAAAGATGAGGAAGCATGGGAATCATTGCTCAGCAATTTCTAGCGATCCACATGTTCTGTTTCTTTTTGTTTTGTATTGGTTTCATTTTACTAAGAATAGAGTGACATAAATATGGTAAGCAAAATAAACTCCATGCTGTTTTGCAACATCAAATTATAGTTTAGTTTGCAAGCAGGTTTATTCACATATTTACCATAAACCCAAAAGAGTTCAGAACTAAGGCTCTGAATATGTTCTAAACTTGCAAAGGCAACCACAGAAATGTTTGTTAAAATGAAATAAAACACCAGTCTTATGCTCATAGTTGGCTCACAGCAAGTCCCATTGAACTTGGTGAAGGAGTGCTTCTGAGTGAATGGGATTGCACTGTTAATGCTTTCATTTAAATGAGACTTTTTGGGGAATGATCTAAACTGGGTGAGAATCAAACAGCTATCCAGATGTTGGACTATCATCCTCAACTTTCTTTGGCCAAAGACAATATTCACATTTTACTGGTTAGCCAATTGTTTGCAATCCAAAGATTTGAGAGATAGAATAGATTATGTTGCACAGAGAAGAAACTCTCTACCAGCCTTCAATTTTGGTGGAGGCAACAGCAAAACATGAGATGCTTGAAACTGACTTTAACTACCATGGAGTTGTAGTTTTTTTTTTTAATCGTGGCAGAAACGACTTGTGCAAGTTGCTTCTGGTGTGAGAGAATTGGCTGTCTACAGAGACATTGCTTAGGGGACGCATGGCTGTGTTACCATCCTGCTGGGAGGCTTCTCTCATGTCTCCACAAGCTAGAGCTAACAGACAGGAGCTCACTCCATCTTCTTGGATTCAAACCGGTGACCTTAAGGTCAGCAACCCAACCTTCAGGTCAGCAGTCCAGTTGGCAGAAGGGTTTAACCCATTGCGTCATTCTTTTGTCAAAGAGTGCTGGCGTAGTTTGATGAAACACCAGCAGTCTTTGACGAAAAAGTCTAAAAACAACTCCCAGGATGCCATAGCACTGTGCTATGGCAATAAAAGTGGTGACAAACTGCATTGGTTCCACAGTGTAGAAACACTCTGTGCAAGAGAGTCTCCTGTTTTGTACCCCACAGAAGTAATTTTATACCTATACACGTAAGACTGATAAGTTGAATTGTGGCTCTTTCACAGTAGCATCCCACTGCTTTTCACGGAACCAATTTCCATCTGGTTGTGATTGTGCCATATTGGTACATATGCTTTTTCCTAACAGCTCGGCTTATAGCTACTTATTAAGGATTTTCTTGACATCAGCACTCTTTATGGGAATGAACTGTGGTGAAATTAGAAAAGCTTCAGGTTTCAGCTAAAAAACAGAACTTTTATTGGCTTCCAACAGATCTCACGTTCCAGCCACTGTTGTACATAAAACCTCAACTGCAATGTGCATGTGGGTTGGCTGCCTGCAAGCGTTGAAAAACAACATATGCATAAGAGCTGTTGCTTATGCAGACGACTCCTATTATTCTTAAGTGTTCATAAGCTGCAGATTGAGTTCCTTGCCCCTTTGAGCTTTTTTTCATGTCAGAAGTAACTTGAGAAACTGCAAGTCTCTTCTGGTGTGAGAGAATTGGCAGTCTGCAAGGACATTGCCCAGGGGACACCCAGATGATTGATGGTTTACCATCCTGTGGGAGGCTTCTGTCATGTCCCCGCATGAGAAGCTAGAGCTCGACAGACAGGAGCTTACCCTGCTCCCAGGACATGAACCATCTACCTTTCGATCGACCAGTCCTGTTGACACAAGAGTTTAACCCCTTGCGCCACCAGGAGCTCTTGCCCCTTTGAGCTGATGACGGTTTATACATACAACATGTATTGCAGGAGATGTTTAAGGAAAGTGTCTAAGCACAAAGACTGTACGTTAGGAGTACAGAACTCCTGCAAGAGTGGAAAAAGCTGGAGGACCTACAAATGCCTACAAAAGCGTTTAAGAATCTCTGGGTCCTCCAGTGCAACTCAATGGAAGAAGTTATAAAGTCAGGCTAGGCAACCTAGAGATTCCTAGAGAGGACCTATTAATCAAATCTGCAAAAGTGAAACACACAAGTGGAGAGGGGTGATGTATTTAAGTTGTGCACAGCAAATCCATATTTTGATTATTACTATTGAATCCCCAGGAAGGAAATTATGTTGATTTTTCATGGCATTACAACATATTTGGCATATTGACCCAAGTGGTGCAAGGCCAAGGGGAGAGAGGGATAGTCTAAGCTAGACATCCTCAAACTGCAGTCTTCCAGCTGTTTGGGCCTCCAATTCCCAGAAGCCCTAACGAACTTGTTCAATTGTCAGGAATTCTGGGAGTTGAAGGCCCAAACAGCTGGAGGGCCACAGTTTGAGGATACCTGGTCTAAGCCAAGTTTACATAGTCATAGTTCAATGTTCAAACCACTAGATAAGAATATATTGTGAACGAAAAGAAAAATAAGCATTTGCAATGTACTCAGTTAATACACTGATAACAACCTTTGGCATAATCTCAATTGTGTAATTATGTGAGCTTTTTATTCACTAGATATTAATGGAGGGTCCTACTGTTTGACAAAGGATCACTGAAATTTGCTGGTCCACTAAGTCGAGGAAAACTTTCTCCTCTTATGTAATAGAAAGCCCATATCCCTTTTGCAGAGCTGAACTGGCACTAGACATTTGCAGACTTAGTGAATACATTTTAAGAGATACACAGGTTTTCTAGACGGAAGCTACAGATTGGGGAGAGAGACAGCAACTCATGGCCTGTTCATTTCTGTTACTGTGCTTGTTATGCATCCTAATAACACTAGATTTAACCTTCAGAGTTTGCTGACATCAATCACCCTTTGAGAGGTGGACTGCTGAGTCAAGTACCTGTCAAGCTGTTTCTGTTTGAGACATGGTGTTGTAACATTAAGCGGGATTACAACTAGGATCTGCCTTCCATGGAAGGGAAGACTTAGTTCACAGAAAGTATCTTTCCCCCAGCTTATTCTATTCAACTGGATGCCTAAGCTCTGTGTAGCATTTTCAAAAGGCTAGGGAGGAAAATGCAGGAAAATTCACTTCTATCTGCTCATTAAGTCTAAATCTGGATCCAGCCCATTAAATCAATATTAACTTCCCATGGTTTTTACAAATAATAAAACAATGCTAGCATCCACATCAGGCAAAAAAAGTCAAAACAAAACCAAAACAAAAAATCCCAAAAAGCAAACAAACAAAAACCCCAAACCCACAGGTTTAAGTAATCACTTTTCCAAAAGCAATACCCTTCCAATGTATTGCACATCAAACCCATTTCCAACATGATCAAGGATGAAAGGAAATAAAAGCCTCCTATAAGGAAGGGATTGGAGGACTGGCATCTAGGTTTATAACTGACATATGTAAAGTGGCTTTAAATCTCACACACGTACAAGTATGGGTTCTATTTGAGCAAATACAGGTTTGTTTGACTGGTTTTAAAAAACTTTATTTAATGAAAAAATATAATACACGGAAATGTATTTTTTCCCTTCCAAACATGAATGATGACACCATATGGTATTTTACAGATAATTGGTTTAATCGTTAAAGGTGTATTTATTGCTATGCTACAGTATCATGGGAAGAAAAAAAATGACACTAAAAGGTTAACACAGTAAAAGAACTTTGATTCCGGTCATCAGTTCTTGGTATGTGAAAGTTGGATGGTTCTTCTGAACTATTTAAGTCATTGTTCCTGGTATTGCTTTATAGCTTTAGTGCAAACAGCATTTCTTCAATCCAACAGTCTTTGCAGCGAAGCCAAACGCTTGGTTTTAAATTGTCCTTTTTTCAAAAAAATTGGGCATCCCTATAATTCAACAGAGTGCAGATCAAAAAAGAATTCTTGGCTTGATCCCCTGCAGCAATATATAGAAAACACTTTCACTCCTTGTTAAGTTTTCTTTAACAGCACCTCCATGTGTATAGGCCTCCAAAACTTCTCATCAAAGATAGAGGTTCCCAGTGTTTCTCAACCTGTGGGCCCCCAGGTGTTTTGGCCTACAACTCTCAGAAATCCCAGCCAGTTTACCAGCTATTAGGGAGTTGAAGGCCAAAACATCTGGGGACCCACACGTTGAGAACCACTGCTCTACACACTGACAGTCGACATCCTCCAGTTTTACTATACAAAGTTTTAACAACTTATTTTCCTCAAAGTTGTTTTCAAAAACAGAAAAAAGAGAGAAAAATAACCAAAAGAGATAAAACTAAATGACGTAAATCAGTTAGTGTGGCATGACTGGAGCAGCCTTCCATCCCATCCGTCCTTTCCTTCCTACTCCCATATTCCCCATTGCCTCTGAAAAATAAGACTCAGGACGATATCATGGAGGAATGCTGTCATGAAAGTTGAAGGGCGGAGGTATTTCTGAAGATTATAGCTGACCTATATCACTGGAAATTAATATTTCCTTCTTACAAGAAGGGGAAGAACCCCTACTAATCATAGCTCAAAGAGCCTGAGTCAAACTTAAATACTTATTATGCACCATTAATCTCACAAAGTTGTATTTGTGGGTGGCGCTAGTCAGTTTGCTTCCAGAAATGGAGAGAAAGAGAGTCACATTTGTAGGCAATACAGAATTGTGAATAAAGACCATTGGTACTGAAGGTGCAGAAGACACTCACTGTTAATTAGATTTCAATTTTCACTACTACAGTTAAGTTTGGCTAGGATTTAGGGATAATGGGACCTACGGCGAAAGATGTGGAGTACTACAGGTTTTATCATTCCTGCTACTGAGTCTTACTGAATTCTGTTAGGACTGACTGCTGACTCCAAACCTAGGTCGCCCAAAGTAGGTAGCTAGGTCTGCAAAGCAACTAGTTTTCATTACCCATGGTGGCCCTGATGTAATCTTGCTATGGGTCCTGCTGGTAATTAAAAGGGCAGATGGCTCACCATTGCACAATATAGACCTGCTTCTAGGGAAACCTGACAACACAGTCCAGACATCCCACTCTTCCCAAAATCTTACATCAGCCCTACTGACCACAAAATGGGACTCACTGATTTTCCATAGCATTGATACCAATGGAAAGCAACCCATGGTTCTGTATTGTACATGACTGTGGGACCGATGTGAGATGAAATGCATGTAGGGCGAATTTGAAGAGATGGGGTGCATTACATGGAAACACTAGACACCAATGGAAATGTATTTTACCTTGGGCTGCTTAAAAGAATCTATAAAGTAGACTACTTCATTAGCAATATTTCTACTCTTAGAAATAATCTGGAGCTTCTGAGAACTTCCTCTCTAACCCACTAAATTCAAACCTGCTCAAATTGAGTGGCACATGCCAAATTGTTTTCTATTAGTACGCAGCCAACTTCTAAATAAGTGATGACTTCCAGGAAAGCACACTAATGGTCAAAATAGACCCTTTCCCTGACTCCAATACTACTAAACCATCTTATGTGGGTGGTGAGTTACAGAACTTGAAAGACATCTAAGTTGAACATATAAACACACAAGAAGCAATCACATTATCCTACTCTATTAACAGTCTGCATGGCTAGTGAGAAGTAGAGAGTACAGAGAATCTAGCTATAGCAACAAACACAATGTTATACATTTGTTTTTAAGGAAAAGGATTTAATTTGTGCTTTTTTATAATAGGCCTACATTTTTGTATCAAACACGCAACCTTTACCTAGTTCAGAGTCTGAAGGGGGTCACAGAATGCTGCTTTCAAAGTGACAGTGTAAAAACAATTCATTATCTATTCTGGGGTGTTAAAATTTACAAATCTCTCTAAAGATATGGACTCACAGCAATATTGTCATTGTTTGAGCAGAATACAAAGTAGCTCAGGATCAACTCAGCTATTCGTCGGATATATTTATTTGCCTATGGTGGTAGCTACAAAAGACATCTATCGTAAAATTACCTGAACTCTGTCCTTCAGAAACAAAGAAGAAAATGTGGGGAATAAAGAAAAAGGAATAAGATGTTTACAAATAGTCTTTTTTCTTTTCAGGGGAATCTATTTACAAAAAAGGGTGTGGATCTCTGTTTTAGCAATAAATAAGCCAGATTTTGTGTTAAGTCAATGTTCATGCACATTCTAAGGTGGAAACATGCTTGAAAAAAATATTTACATGGGGGCTCATCCAGCAGGACACGTTCCTGCTCACACTCCATTTAAATAAACTGGTGCAATCATGGTGCTCTTGTACAGATCCCATTCATTTTTATGGGCCCTGAGCAAGAATCCATCCTGGATGGACATGCCCACCCAATGTATTCTCCCTTCAGAGCTGTCTACCGAGCAGCAGCAGAAAGTGCATTTTCCCCTCCATTGTTCTTGGCGTTGTACATGTCCATTTGTAGACTCCTTCAGTCAAGTTTCTGTGGGATGCAGCCCTCCATCTCCACAACTTCTGGCCATCCTTCATACTTGTTTGTGTCCTTGTTGTTTCTAATATGCTATAAAGCAGAAAAAAAATAGCAGTTGTGATACAGCTATATCAATGACAATTGAATATAAATGTTTACTCAGACCTTTGAAAATAAATTGGCTGCATGATTCCTTAGCTTTTACTCCTGAGGGTTCAAGGCAGCTCGTGCTTTTTGCGAAGAGAAAACTAAAAACAATTGTGTATCTATCAAATATTTAAATACATAAGAAATGGTGCGTAAACAAGACAACCAGAGTAAAATGGAGAAATTCTTGAACACGGGTTCTTAAGTACCATCTGAAGCACAAATAGGGAAATACAGCAGGTCTGGGCTACTTTTCCAACCCTGGGACTCGTAGGCTGCCAAAACTGACCATACCAAACAGAAGTGACCAATAGTCTGTTTTTGGTTTTGGGGAATTCGGCACTTTTAGTACTAAGGAGTACACGAGTTTTCATTTTCAAGTCCTCACCCCATTTCATGATACCATGACAGATAACATTATGTAACACAATTTTTGTTCCTGGTTATAAATGATATTTCCTAATTGGTTCTATCATAAAAACATGGGGAAAAAATATTAAATTGCAAAAACATTTTTTTCAGGAAATCCTGCAACACATTTTGCTAAAGTTTTTCAATGAATATCTCTTTGAGTCTCAACCTATTCAATGTAGGCAGCCACAAAAACAAGGTTTCTAGAGTATAACAACTACTTCTGAAGTAAGTATTACACTTAAACAGGAAACACTTTCAAACCAAGAACAGAATTTCTTTCAAATATTGTTACACAGTGTAATATTAATAGCTATTGAGAGCTCCAGAAGAATGAACAGATATGTACACCTTCTGTCATATCCTGGAATAGGTCACCAAAGGAAACAAATTTTCCACCAAACAGATTGTGGAAAACAAAATCAACCAACACTGCCTCCTTCATGCATGCTCAATTTAAATTTTAACTTAAGACGTTTGGTACAAGTTGATAAAAAACAAGAGAAATATTAACCTCTTCAACAATCTTGTTATGATCCAGTCAAGCAAACTGAGAATATCACATAAAATTCAAGGGTCTGTCATAAAAAGAGAGCTAAACTTCCCTCCTAGAGTGAGCAATGTAAAACCAAAGAGCCTGAAAAGCTTTGATTATTTCTCAGCAATACATATTATACTTGGATCTCATAAAGTAGAATGAATGCTGAGATGGCACAATGGACTAAAAAAAACCCCATGAGAACAAAGGTGGGAGACACCATTTATTAATGCTTCACTATGTTAGAATCGCCCTGCAAGTAGAACACTGGTCCAGCAAAGAAAGAGCAGTCAGAACTTTTCTTCTTGGTGTCCTAGTTTTCAACCTGCAGGAAAGTGGTTGATACTTTTTATGTGAAGATATGTCCTACTTAACAATCTCAGATCATTCTGCCATCTTACGATTCAGCCACCGTATTTCCATTTCATCTTGTTGGACTTGTAGACTAGGTTAAATCAGCCATCTCTAAACATCAACCTCAGCAGACTGAAAGCCAAAACCAAGGTCACAACAACATCTGTTATAGAACTCCACTGTGCCGATGACAAAGTAGTTTGTGCGCATTCAGAAGAAGACCTACAAGCCACTCTAAACACCTTTGCACAAGCATATGAGAAGCTCGGCCCCTCATTGAACATAGAAAAAACCAAAGTGCTCTTTCAGTAGTCACCAGCCAATCCCTCTGCAATGCTAGAAAAACAGCTTAATGGTGTAATGTTAGAAAAAGTTGACCATTTCCTCTACTGTAGCAGCCACCTCTCCACAAAAGTCAACATTAACACTGAAATACAACACTGCCTGAGCTCTGCAAGTGCAGCATTTTTCTGAATAAAGCAGAGAGTGTTTGAGGATTGGGACATCCGTAGGGATACCAAGGTGGTTGTTTATAAAGCTATTGTCCTCCCAACCCTGTTATATGCCTGCAAAACATGGACTGTCTACATATGTCACAATCAACTCCTGGAATGATTCCATCAGTGTCGCTTCCGAAAAATCCTGAAAATCTCTTGGGAATGTCAGCGTACTGGAAGAAGCAAAGACCACCAGCACTGAAGTGATGCTCCTACGCCATCAACTCTGCTGAACTGGCTACGTTGTCCAAATGTCCGATCAACGTATCCTAAAGGACTTACTCTACTCCCAACTCAAGAATGGAAAATGGAATGCTGTTGAACAGGAAAAGAGATTTAAGGATGGGCTTAAAACCAACCTTAAAAACTGGGGCATAGACACCGAGAACTGGGAAGCCCTAGCCCTTGAGCACCCTAACTGGAGGTCAGCTGTGATCAGCAATGCTATGGAATTTGAAGAGGCACGAATGGAGGATGTAAGGGAGAAACATGCCAAGAGGAAGGTACATCAAGCCAACGCAGACCAGGACCGCCTTCCACCTGGAAACCAATGTCCTCACTGCGGAAGAACATGCAGGTCAAGAATAGAGCTCTACAGTCACCTATGTATCCACCGCCAAGACACTACACTTGGAAGGCTATCATACTCAGACAAAGAGGGATCACTTAAGTAAGTAAGTATATATTATCCTGAATACAAACCTGTTCAAATGGGCTTTTAGTCTTGATCCCTTTCCCACCACAGAAAACCCAATTGTCTCTGAAGCCAAGGTTTGTGATGGAGGAGCTGCCCAACTCAGCTACTAGTTTCCGTGACTCTTCATTAAGCCTTGAAAGAAATTCAGGCAAGTTAATATAATATTGTAATTACTTTTTTTAACTGATCAAAATGACAATTCTGCTACATTTTGTATCTTGTTATCCTTTGAGTTCCCCTATTTAATGCCAATTTCTTAGAAGAATTTCCACACCCTTGAAAGTAAAAAGGCATTTTTGTTCCTAATAATACAACTATCCTTGCTCCCAGACATCTTTCCTATGGTTATGAGCTCTTCAAATCAGTCTATTTTTGAATGCACTAAAGACAAATGCATCAAACTTACCAGACATTTTCCTAGACTTTATGGAATTCTGTATCCTGAAAAATTGTTTAAAAATAACTATAATGTAAATTCTGCTTTATATTCTGCCTTTGTGATTGAGAGCAGCTTATTATAATATATAACAGGAACTGAACTAAGACTTTATAGTGAGAGTTTGGGATGCTGTGGTCCCAATTTGGCTCAATACCCTGCACTAATCATACACAAGAAGGAATCCAGAAGCCATATCAAGTAAAAATACATTTCCTACAGACTTACTTAGTGGCACCATCATCATAGGTTGCCATTAATACAATAGTCCCATCTTGAATTGTCTTCAGGAAGTCAATAAATGGGGCTACATCTAAACCAAACAGAAATATGCGTTACTATAGCAGTACACAGACAGACATCATTATGGATATACAGCATTATGCATATACAGGCATGGCTGTGTTGATCCATTCCAGCACAAAGACATAAAGGAGTCCCAAAGCACCTTTGAAATGAATTCTTTATCTCAGTCTCAAAATAGGAATTCTTGGCCCTTTAAAACCACACCCAATTCTCTTAGTAAGCTGAACATAATAAACTTTGTGTTGGCGAAGGTGTTGGCGAAGGCCGGAATAGCTGGATTGTTGTGAGTTTTTCAGGCTTTATGGCCATTTGTTCCAGAAGCATTCTCTCCTGACTTTTCGCCCACATCTATGGAAGGCATCCTCAAAGATTGTGAGGTATATTAGAAACTAGACAAGGGAGGTTATATATCTGTGGAATGTCCAGAGTGGGGGAAAAAACTCTTGTCTGTTGGAGCCAGGCTTTGAAGCTACAAGGCCATTCAATTCTAATCAAGGTGGCCAATTGCAACATTCACATTTGCCTCAAACAGACAAGAGTTCTTTCTCCTACCCTGGACATCCCGCAGATATATAAACTTCACTTGCCTAGCTTTCAACAGACCTAACAACCTCTGAGGATGCCTGCCATAGATGTAGGTGAAACACCAGGAGAGAATGCTTCTATAACATTGCCATACAGCCCAGGAAAATCACAGCAACCTAATAATAAACTTTTTTTAAAAAAATAAAGAACACTTTGCAATACTATTTGTTTAGGTTGGCAGCCAAAATGATTGATTTTCAAAAAGTATTTAAAAAATCATTTCTTAAATTCCATTTATCAAATATCCCAAGATGATCTCTAAAATGAATGCTGGAAAACATTAAAATCTGTCATACGTAACATTTGACATTTGAGCTGTGACATGTAAAGCACTTACGGTATATTTGACAATATTGGTAGTCAAGTCACAGCAGTAAGCTCTTAATGTTTACAAGCATCTTTCCATCAAAAGGAATGCTTTTCAAATGCACAGACTACGTCTATTACAAGTTGTTTGTGTACTGGAGCATGTATACATTAAATGAAGATGTTGCTATGTCTTTTAGTGACAATTTTATGGCAAGTCTGCAGCCATAAGGAACCCAACGCTCCCACTATTTCTGCATTGCAGAATTGTTTTTGCTAACGGAAAGGAAGCATATAACAACATAAAAGAATACACTTAAAATAATATACTTCTTTGGCCCCATCTACACTGCCATTATAATGCAGATTGAACTGCATTATATGATCAATGTAGACTCATGTGCAGTTTAACTAAATTTTAAAGTGTAGGTGGGGCCTTAGTTGCTTTTCAAGACTAATATTTCAAAGGAGCCTTACACTAGAAAACAATATTCAGTATCAAATTATAGGACCACCTCAAATTTAGATCATTTTAAAATATGCCAATGAAAACAAAGCTTAATGAAATGCAGTACAACGGCATACATTTTAAAGCATAAAGAAAAACATATTCTTTGAGAGGTACTTGATATCTGACAGCTTATGAAAATGTCATAGATGGGGTTTGCAAACAACCCAGAGATATCTAAAACATTCAGCTTTTGAGGTCAAAAGGATTCACATTCAAAACTTAATGTTTCTGTGCTTACCTCCGCCCCACATATCAAAGTACTTTGTGTCCACAGTTTCACCGGTTTTGCCTAGAAAAGGGATAAACACATGATATGCACTATAATACTGCGGGTGTTTACTCAGATGTAAAAATTCGGTGACTTGCTATAATATTGCTGAAGAATATGCAACATAACAGACTTTAGCAATTAGGGCTGCAGCCTTAACTAATGTCATCATTCACAAACAAGCAATGTGAACATTGCCCATTGAAGACACAACAGGAGAGACTGTTCAGAGCTGAAAACACAAAACAAAATAGAAGAGATGGGTGTAGGATGAAGGAAAATATCTTGAGAAAACACCAAAGAGTCATAGTCCAGCTGGCAACAACTTCATGCAGAACCCACATTATTTGTCTCTTTCTGGATAAACAAAGATATTTCAGATACAAACCGGCCCTGTGTTAATTATTCCCCTCTTCAATATCGAGGTTTTATTACTGAACTGCAGGAGAAAACCTCAAATCTACATTTAGTGTTACAGCATTCATTTAATAAAGAAAACCACTTACCATTCACCAAAGCTATATTGATGCCTCTTCCAACATTGTTTTTAACTCCACTCATCAACCTGGAACGAGACAGAAAATTATGCCAGGTTTCCTCCCACACTTCATTCCCTTCCCTGATAGGAAGCCAAAGTGAGGCCAACCATATTTTAGAGGAAACCTGGCCAGATCCTCTTTAGCTATTTTGATTTGGCTAATCACGTAACGTAAGTGACAGGACATGTCAATTGCTTCCATCACTGTCACTTTTAATTGTCAGTTGGCAAGCATGTGAAAGCAACTCAACATATTAGAGTAATTGACTGTGATAGAAAGAGCTCTGCAAAGTGAGAATCTATGCAGACAAGCTAGTTCGGAGACCAGTAAGACTTTTCTTGCTGCTGTCAATTGACCTGAATTCTACTGTCAGTCAAAACCAGAGCAGAAACCTAATTTGGGTTCTACCTAGACACTGACACACTATTCAAAAGTTGGATCAATAGGTTTACTACCCTAGAAGGGTCTAATCAATTGAAAACAGACCTATTACAACATGAATTACAAATAGGCGCCGCCTGGTTTATTAACTGAGCCCATGCCCACTGATCAGAATCTAGGATACTATTATTAAAGTAAGTCACATTTCATTGATCGATTTTCAACTGAATAGGCACAGTCAATACTGCAACAAGTGTTTCCCAACATGGGGCCCTCCAGGTGTATTCGACAGCAACATGGTCAATGGCAACTATAAGAGTTAATTCAAAACATTTTAAGGGCAATGGGTTCAGAAAAGTTACTCTATGGCAGTGATTCTCAACCTGTGGGTCCCCAGATGTTTTGACCTTCAACTCCCAGAAATCCTAGCAGCTGCTAAACAGGCTGGGATTTCTAGGAGTTGTAGGCCAAAACACTTGGGGACCCACAGGATGAGAACCGCTGTTCTAGGGTGTGTTTGGAATTAGGTAAAATCTAGAACTGAAATAGATTGAATTCAAACACATTTAGGGGATGTGAAAACCAAAAGAAGTCTACTCTGGAGAAGAACAGACACAAATTGTGATGGTCCTAAAAACAGCATAAGAACCTGGAGGTCAGCATACCTTCAACAACACTGAAGTATTTCTGTTCTAGTTTTGCATACAAGGAAAAGGTTTTGGGGTTTATTTAGTTTCTTTTTTACTTATTTTAACTAAGACCAATCTCAGTGCTTTTAGGAAAAGGATGAAATAATACAAGATGGGTCTGATCCAACGTTCAGTGCACTTTGATGTCTCTCTCCCCACAAAGCACACATGTTTTGTAGGAATTTGTGGGACCTGGACAAGCCTGTATTGGATGCCTATATAGTATTGGATGCTTGCATGGAAAACACTGGATATTTCAAAAATGTCAATTAAAAATATTTAAAGAAAGTTTGGGAAGATTGGCCATTAACAATTTTTATGATTAGTAATAATAATATAAAACTTTATTTCTAGCCCCAAAAGGGACTCAGGGAGGTTTACAGCACAAAAACAGGCAAACATTCAATGCCTTACAAAGTAACTAACAACATCAGGAATAATACAAAATAATAGCAATAAGCCTATAATGGAAAAAATTAAACATTGAGTTAATATTAATTGTCTAATATTATCAATTAGACAATAAACTAGGGTGTGTAAACATTAAACATATATCATTAAAAACAGAGTGAAATCCTTATTAGGGCTCTTCTTTGCAGCCATATAAACCAGAAAATCAAGGCAGATAATTCCACAATATCTTTATGAACTGGGCTATCTGAGTCCACACTGCTATATATGATTAGGAATAGCAGAAAGATGAACATTATGAGACAAACAACATTGAATAGAACTATTAGGTGGATATGTTTCGTGTGTGTGTGAATATATGAGAGAGAAATATGAATTGGGAAATTTGATAGAAATGCAACTTATTATTTGTTAACCTGGGACAGAGTCTAGAAGCAATCAAATACATTTACCAGTAGTTGTATACAAGCAGATAATACTGGGACATTCAGTATTCAGACATTAATATTCAGACATTCAGACATTAATATAGGACATTCAGACAAATATAGAATATGTACTTATTTCATGTTGAAAGTAATTTAGATATATGTGGCTAAGAATAATATGAGTAGACAATGAAGATGGAGTGAACTGAGAAGACTAAGTTGAAGATGTTGGAAGAATATCAGTACTTACTATGTATGATGTGTTTATATTGATTGGGTGTAGATTGTTTACTCATAAATCTATGTATTGTATAATTAATACAAATTATTTGAAGAAAAAAAATAAAACGTTGAATAAAGAGGATCTTCTGTCTCTGCCACTGCATATTCCACAACCATCATTGTTCTACTACAGTTTCTATCATTTTGGTGCTAACTGAGCAGAGAAGGCATAACTGTTTCCTGTTCATCTAACTCCCTACTTGTAGTGTTCCCTTGCCCTTTCCATCAGCTACTATGCCTACCAATTCCCCTTTCCCTTCAGAGAAAGCAAATAAGTTTCAAGTAACTAGCTCAGGCAAATGAACAACATCAAGTCTTGTTTGCATTTTGCTGCCACTGGATTTTTCAACAGAACCAACAGCTAGGAATGTGTAACATTATGGTTCAATTGACTCTTAGGCCATACCCACATACCTTGCCATAGTTACCAAACAGTAGGGCTAGGTTATCAAAGGAAACAAAAAATATTTCATTACTTAGAATCTCAGGTTGCTATATAATTAATGCCCTAACTCATCACCACTCTCCAACATGTAAATACTAGACTATACTAGGTAAACAATAGTCTACTGCATGCAAAATAATCTAATCCTATCATTCACTGCTATCACGCTCAGACAGGCTTTTCTTTCAACTCATGACATAACCTTTCCATCATCTTTTGGTCTTGTTCTCCAATCCAGCAGTTCTATATGGCCCTCACATCACACCACAAGACACAATTCCGAACTGTATTTTCTTCTCTTCTTTTTCTCAATCAATCTCTATGCACTTGCAAACACACGCATACTATCATTCTAACATTGATCAACCACGAACTATTTGCCTTATTAATAGAATCCTAGGACTGGAAGAGACCACAGTTGCTGGGCCATCCATTCCAACCTCCTGCCATGTGGGAAAATACAATCAAAGCACTCACAACAGATGGCACTCAGTCTCTGATTAAAAACCTCCAGAAAAGCAGACTCCACCACACTCCATGACAGCATAGATACAAATCCACATTATTCTGATTCGTAGCTTATGTTACATCATTTATTTATTTATTTCAAACATTTGTATCCCGTCCTTCTCAATCCCCGAGGGGGGACTCAGGGCGGCTTACATCCGGCAGCAATTTGATGCCAATATACACAACGAACAACATAGCACAAATTTGACATTAATTAAAAAATAAGTTATAAAATGTCCAATTAAAAACATTTCTAACAGCAATCACAGCAGTCAAAACATCACAGCAGTCTCTGCACATACCATTCTGAAACAACATCATGCCATACACTATCCTGATACAAATTGCCCCAGCCACACACCCCAAAAAATCAAGAAGGAAAAGGGAAGTAAACCACACCTCCACAAATTCTATACACTTATCATTCCCCCAAATAACTTGCCCATTTTTGCTGATTTCTTATTATAGAATTTTCAAACCATTTGTCTCTCTCCCTCAACTACAGTATATTCTATTATCATGTCTATTTGAGTGAATTAGATGAGATACACAAATTGACAATGTTGATTAAGGAGAAATCCTTGACTAAATTCGAGAACATACATGTTAAACACAAGGTCCTTGGGCCACAGCATTTTATGTAGCCCGCGAGGCTTTCAACGCCAGGGCAACACAGTTACATGTATAAAGTCTTAGGATTACAAATGGCTCTTCGAAGGCAATCATAAGGCTGATATGGCATCAGCGAAAATGAGTATGACACCCCTGGTTTAGAATGTATATAAATTATATGTTGCATATATTGGGGTGTTGGTTACTTTTCCATATAATTCCATACTCATCTCCTATTTATATACTTTTGTATATAGAGAAAAAATGTCTTTGTTTTCTATGGCAGTGGTTTTGCTTCGTTTTTCTTTATACTCTTAATTTTGTTTTGTGCTGTTGTTATATTTTATCAGTAAGTTTTTCCTGTGTTTAGATAAAATCATTTCTTAAAAAAAAGAATTATATTGCTGTGACAAGAAATTAAAAATTATCAGCAGCATTTCTCTACAGCAAATAACAATATCTCCGTAGACAATTTCCAAACATGTGCAGCACATACCCATCGATCTGAAATATGGCATGTAAAATGTCCTTGCAAGAGGCGATGATGTCTACAATTTTCAAGCAAGTCCAATAAACAAGGACGTAGTATAGGTTTTCTTCTTATTTCCAATTATAGTCAATAAAACCACCACAAATCAACCCAAGCCAGTGGCCTCTGAACTCATCCAAACCGAATCATTTTTAAAGTAACTAAATCAGGGTTCAAACTGATTATGAGCAGACACCATTACCAAACAAAGTTTGGACCCAACATGATGTCAATCACACATCATTAATTGCCATAATGTTTTGGTAGAAGGACAATATGAATGAGCATTCTGCTTTTGTGAAAACAGACATTCCTTGTCACTACTCTTATGGAGGCTAAAGCAATGTTTATGGTTTGCCACAAGGAGGTAGCAGCACATTATTTTTAGGTTTCTTGTTCCTCCGTTGGTCAGCAGAGGACAAAACAGTCTCTGTGCAGACTACACAGTCCAATTTAACAAACAGTAAAATTTCATTCAAAGGCTTCTGAATATTGTCAACATTTTATCCTTAAATAACTATGATGAGGTCTTTTCTCTGAAAGCAGGTGGCTCAACAACTGACGCACAGAATAACGATTCTCTTTGTGACGCAAATGTGGAGTTTGTTTCCAAAAGTTACCAAATCCATCTGAAAAAAATTGTCAGGAATGGAAAAAATGTGGATGTGAGGATGTGCATTCCTTTGCTATAAAATGTGATTTTCCAAATCTTCTATAGATGTGATTTGATAGATTTTGAGTTTTGATCTACACCTAGCCAACAATGTGCTGCCACCCATGACTCATTTTTTTTCTTTTTTTCTTTTCTTTCAGATTTGAGTTTTTTTGGAAACAAACTCCACAAATATACCTGTCCATAAAAGAACCTTCAAGTTGCAAATCTAACTCTAAAAGGAGAAAATACAATTTCCAGAGCAGATTTCTCATAGTGCACAGAGTTCTGCAGAAGGGATGGGCAAACCACTGAAGTACATCTCTAGATCTTGGCATTTATGTTTATATGAAACTTTAAAAATGCTTATTAATCACTTCTTGATTGGATAAAGAGTATTAGTAGTGGACTGTTTCAACTGGAAGATGTGAAGCCAGGAGAAGATGTGGTTTTAAAAGTATTCCGCATGACCCTAGTAGCTCCTTGAAAAAGTGTTCCAGAGGATTTAGGGCACTTCCAAAGTAGTGTGGGAAGTCTGTAAGGGAAATTGATGCAAAACCCAACTTTTCTCAAGTGGAAAATTCCACTGCATCTCAATCCTTTCCATGAGTGGTTGGAACCTTTCTATGTGCAGAGAAGCTAAACTAGTTACAGGTTTAATTATAGTCAATTTGCATAGTCCTAACATTCACAAAAAGAATGATGCAAAAATACTAAAGAGTAAAGAATGACTTCCATGTTTAACGTAACATATTGTTTGGTAATATATTCTCCACAATTAGCTTGACGTAGAGCACTAGCAACAAGAGCAATTACTAGCACTGGAAGAATGCAGCCTTTGTTTTCATGTTAAATGGCTGCAAAGCACATTTTCTATTCAATACTGAATGAAAAAAAACCCCAACAGAATGAATACAAAAGAAATCAGCTCATACGTACACATTATCTTCTACACAAATTTTGGGTCCGACAACGTTGGCGGCTCCACTTGCCATTTTGAAAGCGAAGTGATTCTCTGGACAGGCTTTTGAAGTTCCGCACTTATATCTTGGAGGTTTTGTAGCTTTGGAGGGAAAATAATTTTCATTAATTTTTTAAAAATCATTTTACAAGATATTTAAAAGAAAACTATAAGCACTTTTTTCATGTCAGGAGCAACTTGAGAAATTGTAAGTCGGTTCTAGTGTGAGAGAATTGGCTGTCTGCAAGGATGTTGCCCAGGGGACACCCGGATGTTTCATGATCCTGTGGGAGGCTTCTCTCATGTCCCCACATGAGAAGCTGGAGCTGACAGACAGGTGCTCAACCTGCTCCCTGGATTCAGACCACCAACCTTTCAGTCAGCAGTCCTGCCGGCAAAAGGGTTTTTTAACCCATTGTGCCCCCCTGTAAGCATTGATGAGCTTACACATTTCTTCTATAGCCATTTTTTATTTCATGTGATATGCAGATTGCCTAATAATAATAATAATAATAATAATAATAATTTATTTTTAATCGAAGGGACTAAGGGTGGCTTCCAAACATAAAACATAAAACTGGCAAACATTCAATGCCATCAAATCAACATTTATACATTTATAGATATAGATGAAAGCAAGATAAAATACATTGGCTGGTAATATGAGAAAAAATATTAAATATCTTCTGAAGAAGTGTTCTCCAAGGGAAAACAAGCAGCAGAAAACCAAGACTTAACTGAGGTTAAGCAACACGTTCAAATTTGCCTTTTTTCTTTTCCTCCCTCCCCATTTTTGATATTCCATTTGTGTCATAATCCTTTTGATGACTATTCTGATTTCAGGACTGTCTTGCTTGCTATCATCAATGCATAACAATAAACTACAATAATTTTTATTGGAGTTCAACCGCTTCATTTCAGACCATATAAACCTGAGCATTTGACAACATGTGAACAAGGACCTAAGCAAGATTCAAGGGTATTAAGAAGGGAAAAAAAAATTAAAGAAAAAGGAGAAAGGCAGAGCAGACTGTAAATTTTAAACAAACTACTCAAACTTTCTCTAAGCAGGAGACATTGGAGATTTGATTCTCAATGGCCACATTATTTAAAAATATCAGATTGGAGGAATAGTGCTGCTTCAGGTCTGCCTTCTCTCTAACTCTTGGGAAAACATATTTTTTAAAAAAATCCATAGAAAGATTAAATTATTTCATTCCAATTTGATTTAATGGGCATCTTTATTTTAAAAAAGAGAGAAAAAATGGCAGGGACTTATAAAATCCCTATCTCTATCTCCTTACACTTCAGATGATGGACTCAGTGCTTTTCTTACTATTAGTTTGAAGGATTTCTTGGAAGTATATGCACTCTGAGGATCACAATTCTGAACCATTCAGTTTTTAGAAATACTAGTCAGCTCTGGACTGCTCAGGTGAAGCAACTCATCACTGGGCTAGTGTTTATGGGAAAATATTATATGCATGAAGAAGGCAATAAATCCTTGGTGGTTACCCCTGGTTTACACAAATAATAAATATGGATAAAACAAGTAAAACTTGTCATATATTACTTACAACGTGCAGGTAGGTCTAGCGGTGATCGTGCTGAAAGAGATAATTATTATTCTTTCATTAGGTTCCTCATATAATTTATAAAATGTCAAACCCTAATTTTCAAATTATAGTTTTTCTCTGAGATCACACAATTCTGGCACCTAAGAGCCGTAAAATAAAATATAGTGTGCAAAACACAGTGTTTTAGGCTGGTATTTTTGCTGCATGAAATAACTGCTCAGAAATTACTATGATCCTATTTCAAAGTGTGATATAGTTATTGGCCCACTCAAGTATGAGTCATTTTAGTTGTTGGTGTCAGCTTTTTAGCTTGGTCAGTCAACTCTTCTGAATGTTCCACTGATTCGACTCGAGTTGAGTTCCATTAGTCAAGTGGCAACTAACAACAGGATTAAGGTCTACAGGTTGCATGGAGTATAACTAAAAAACGACAAACAGAGAAATCATTTTTTTTAAAATAACAAGATAAAGAAATGTAAATATTTAGTTACAAACCAATTCAAAAGCCATATATCTTTTGGAGCCGGGGGGGGGGGGGGGGGGGGGGAGCTATACAGTCAGCCCTAAAACTTCATGAGCCTAACTTCCATGCATTTGTTTACACGTAATTTGTCACCCCTTCCACTGCTGCCCAACACTATTTTTATAGGGACTTAAAAGCCTTGCCTCACATTGCCAGTCTCTGCAAACCTGATGAGTCTCATAGAGAGAATGCAAACACATAGCAATTTCCTATTAAAAATGATGCTGGGCAGCAGCTGGGGTTCTGCCAAGACCTGCCAGGTGTCCACTTCTGTATTTGCAAAAGAATCACTCTGCCTAAAAGGCAGAGCTGTGGGGCTGGCATGCTCTCTGTGGCAGATTCAAATACCATATTCCATCAGGTCTAAGACACGGTTATTTTCCAAAAATTGAGGTTGAAAAAGGAATGCACCTTAAAATTGATGGTGTCTTAGAATCACATTGTTTTTTAAAAAATAAATGAAAATAAAAGATGACCAGGAGTGATGGCTGTGAGAGCAGGAGGGAAGCCAGATGTCTAGCCACCCCCAGAAAGCCTCCCCAACCACATGTCCAATTCTGCTACTGACTCCCAATCTACAGCTTTCATGCCACTGCCTCCAACCTGCTGCTGGCCTAGGTCACTACTGTCCCACGGTGTTGCCTGGCTGGGAGAACGTCTGGAGGGTGAAGAAAGTGGAAGCCCCTTCCCATTGAGGTATCACTGGTGAGAGGGTAGGAGATTGGAGGAAGAAACGCTTTGTGCCAGGAGTGTGAGGCAGCAGTGGGTCTCCATTGCTTCTGGCACACAGGACTTCTTCTTCCCCTCTCCTGTGTGTTACCACCTTCCGATGGACCTGGACTTCTCTCTCTCTCTCTCTCTCCCCCCGCCCCACTCTCTCTCTGGTGCTTGGTGCCATCAGGAGTGGAGGCAGCTGGAGATAGAGGAAGGGAGGAAGGGAGAGAGGAAACATGTTTCAAGCTCTCTTCAAAACCATCTCCCTTCAAGGCCAACCAGGCAAGACTCACAAATGGCAGCAAACAGAAAAGAGGTAGTGGCACAAAAGGTTAGGAGGTGGCTGCAGCATCAGGCATGGGGTCAGGGAAGCTTTCTAAGAGTTTGGGCTGGACAGTTGGACAGCGAGACAAACAAGTTAGGGTGGGAACTTATTTATTTATTTATTTTACAAAAATGAAGGCTCAAATAAAAGGGGTGCTTCTTAGAATCAAAAATACATTTTCCCCAAAAGTGGACCTCAAAAATTGGACTGTGTCTTACAATCAGTGGTTTCTTACAACCAATGAATATGGTATATTGTGTACCATACATTTAAATCCATGATGGCAGAATCCATAGGCTGTACTTTTTTGTGTATGTCAGATACAGTTTGAAAAGCCTAGAGATATTTACATTCTTCCACTTTTTTTGGAGGTCCTGTGGATATGGAGGGAGAATTCTATTTGTTTTGATAACTATGACATCACTGTATGTAAGAAAGTATGGAGCCTCAGATAATTCTCCCAAAGCATAGCTATTTACACATATAGCTCACTCATTGTGCTGTCATTAAAGAAATGTAAACAAGGGCACTGGTCTCAATAGGACTTAATTCTGTGTAGATGTGTACAGAACTTCCCAGGTAAGTGACATAATTCTGACCAAAATTGTATGAGGAAAACTTACCAAATAGGCTTCCTAGGTTAGCATCCATTTTTATTTCAAATACTTGAGAGATGACATAAAACGTCAGCAAGAACACAGCAACTGCTACCACCAATTTTGCAGCTCCTACTCCGGAATACAGAAATAAAAAGTCTCTCACCAATTGTTGAAATTTCAATGTAGCAAAGATTTTTCTGCACTATCTGATTAAAACTAGGCACTGGAATCCAGGTCATACAAATCATGATGGTTATGTTTTCATATAACAGAATTCTTCTTGCTGGTTGTAAAATGATTTTATTGAAGCCATTCCATCAGGCATGGATGTGAAATTCAGATTTTTATTGTAATGTCTTATCATGTTTCTTATAGTGTATGCTTTTACTTCACGTTGTGTTTCAATTTTTTTTCTTCCACATCATTCCTCTACCTGTGTCTTTCTTTCTTGCTCATTCCCTTTCATTCGATGGGTGAGAAATGTTTTCCCCTGCTACAATTCATGCACCCATTTCCTCCTCTGCCAAGCTCAAAACAGGGAATGGATAGGATTTTTCACCTGAATTCCATTTAATGCAGAAAATATTGAAAATGTAAATATAATCTCTGAGTCAAAAGAATTAGTGCCCTTTTCAACAAGCATAATAAATATTAAAGTTTAGTTTTCTCTACTTTCTAATAGAAATGTAGCATAGAGGCAGTTTTTCTACTAACTTTCCTAACCCTGATAGTGGGGTATAAAAAAAAATAGCCTATCACCTATTCTGAGCACAATCTACCTGCTACCTTGGGCCTGTAAAATTATTTTTGTGGATACACTTTGCCTGGGATAAAAACACACATTGAAAACGAGGTAATAGGAAAGGAAGAAAGTGAGAGAGAGAGAAACAGTAAAGATAAAGACATCACATCAGTTAATCTCCTCTTGTTATCTATCATTATCTCAAAAATATAGCATCCCACAGCTTCTAAAGAAATGATGCTTGCATATGTCACAAATAAATGAGAAAACTACTGGTAGTTACAGCTAGATGAGATTCTTTACAACTATTTTATGAATAAGAGGCTATATAAAAGGTTGATGTAAGGTGAAGTGGCCCTCTCTGTGATGTCATTGGGAAAGAAAGGTGAACTATGAATGAGGGGAAGGAAAGAAAGAAGTAAAGAGTCACAAAGAGAACCATGTGGCCATGGAGAAACTGCAAAGTAATATACTACTACTACTACTACTACTACTACTACTACTAACAACAACAACAACAATAATAATATAACACTTTATTTATATTCCCTAAGTCCCCTCGAGGAGATAGATAAATAACACTTTATCTATCTCCTCGAGGGGACTTAAGAGCAGACTACAACATACACAGATAGGCAAATATTCAATGCCTTTAATACAGTGGAATAACAATTACACACAGATACACAGAACAAAGGTAAAGGCTCCCCCTTTCATCTCTGGCTTCTGGAGTGGTGCTCAACTCTGGCTATAGGGAGGTGCTCTTTTTCCATTTCCAAGCCGAGGAGTCTGTTGTCCGTTTGCTGGCATGGCTGCATAGGCACTTTTATTACCTTCCTGCTGAAGTGGTACCTATTGATCTATTCACATTTGCATGTTTTCGAACGGCTAGGTTGGCAGGAGCTAGGACTAACAATGGGAGTTCACTTATGGTCAGCAGTTCAGCAGCGCAAGGGTTTAACCAATTGTGCTAACCACACTCTCAAATTAAGTCCTTGCAGAATTGGAGAAGGCAGAAAGGGGAGGGGATTGAAAAGAAGGAAAGAAAGAAAAAGAAGGAAAAGAAGAAGGGAGGAAAGGGGGAAGTGGGGAAGAAAGAAAAGAAAAAGGAGGGGATGGAGGGAAGTAGGGAAAGGAAAGGGGTAAAGGTATGGGGGGGGGATGAAAACATGGGGGGTAGTAGCCCCTCCTACACATGGGCAATGCTGGGTAGATATATATGCTAGTTAATTATAATTAGCAGCATCTCCTACTACTTTGTCTATCAGAGTCGCAGATTGCTATCTTTTTCTATCTTTCTGAATATAGCCGATGCCCAAATGACACAATGCCATCTCTTTGTGATACTGTTATTTTATGTGTGTCTACTCAGAATCAAATCTTACTGTGCCCAGTAGAACATGGCCTAAGCTCTGTGCAAATTCAGTGTAAAAAAATCTGAGTTAATCCTTGAAACTACCAGAGCGAGGGGAAGGTTAGGATATTTTACCTAGTCCTTTCATTTTTCTGACTGTACATTTACAAAAGCACTTCTCCATCACTAGGACAAGAATTTCATTTCTTGAAAAGTTATCAGGAGCTCAACATGATTTTGAAAAGCACAAAGAAGTCCTGTAGAAGTTACAATCAGCAAGTGGGTAATAGATTCCCATCTACCACTGAGAAATGTCTATCAGCATTTAGACAAATTTTGGAATAACACAGGATTAATGTTTTTGCTACATATTGAATATCATAGTTGTCGTTTGTAATTCAAAATGCATAGATATTATTAAATCTGAAAAATCTTAATAGCCCCTGAAGCAATATGCACTAGATGAGAAAGCACCCTACATACACATATATATGAACCTGTAGATATAAATAATTTTTGCTGCTTTTATTACAACCGTGTATGCCACTATCACAACCTCACCATTCCCGAGAAACTCTAAGTCGCTTCTGGTGTGAGAGAATTGGCTGTCTGCAAGGATGTTGCCCAGGGGACGCCAGAATGTTTTGATGTTTTTTACCATCCTTGTGGGAGGTGTCTCTCATGTCCCCGCATGGGAAGCTGGAACTGAGAGAGGGAGCTCATTCACGCTCTCCTCGGATTCAAACCTCTGACCTGTTGATCTTCTGTCCTGACGGCACAAGGGTTTAACCCATTGCACCACCAGAGACCCCTTTATTATGAACTGAACATTATTAAGGTGGTCACTACAATATTTACTGATCAACCCAGCTTATAGAATCATAGAATCATAGAATCAAAGAGTTGGAAAAGACCTCATGGGCCATCCAGTCCAACCCCCTGCCAAGAAGCAGGAACATCACATTCAAATAAACCCCGACAGATGGCCATCCAGCCTCTGTTTAAAAGCTTCCAAAGAAGGAGCCTCCACTTGGATAATAATTAGGAACCTTTGGTCCTCTAGATATTTTTGGATGTCCTTTTCCATATGTTACAGTTCCTACACCTTTGTTAGTATTTTAAGTTGATTTATACCAGAGATGTACAAATCTGAGAGTCCCAAGTACAAGAGAAAAACAAGGTACATCTGAAGATGCCAGAAGCATGGTCTTTTATTAGCTGCAAAACCGGAACTTCTTTGGTGTGTGGATAAACTTAAGGTCTTCTTCAGGAGTTCACATTATTGCTTTTCTAATAAAAATGAAATATAAGTTTACCGTTTATCTATGCAATAATTTGCCAATTAAATGTAAACATATTGAGATACATTTCACATTTTTAATTTTCCCTTCATAAACTATTTTAATTGGAATTTTAAGAAGGAACAGAAATTAAACTATCCCACTAAACCGTGTTAAATGTTTTCAAAATGAGCTTATTCTTTATTCATCGAGAATTGTATTTACATGCTATTGGTTCGAGCAGAATTCTGATGTGATACACCTTTACTGACATGAGGGTTTAATATGTAAATACTGAAGTAGAATATTGGGACTTATAGGATCACAAAATCATAGAATCATAGAGTTGGAAGAGACCATCAAGTCCAACACCCTGCCAAGAAGCAGGAAAATCGCATTCAAAGCACCCCTGACATTTAATAGCAAGTGGGATAAATGTTCAAAGGACTCTGTGTTTGGAAGGAAACCTTCAGTATTAGCAGAATATGCATCTTTCATTTTATCCCAATTTATACAGCTTTACATACTAATTGCAATAGTAGCTATGCTTTTTTAAAAAGTAGAATCATTTTAATTTCTTACATCCACCTTTGATTTAGTGACTTCTTGCCATAGCTTTCTATGTGATTATTTAAGATTACAATACTGCTGGAAAATTTGAATTGCCTGCTATTACTAAAATAAACAATTTGTTTTACAAGTCAGAACTTACTGTTGTTGTCATTCTTACCTGCTATTCTCATGTTTAGTTTTCTTCTGTTACTGATACAATTAACTGCATTTAACCAGCTGCCTAGGAGAAAAGGAGAAGAAAGCCAGAGTATGAGAAAGCATATCCAGTTGCAATGGAACAAACAAAAACACCTATCTCACTCTAAGCTTCACATTCCTCCAAGCAACAGTCATGAAGACAATGACATCACGATCCCAAACCAATATATAATTCAGCAAGCCATCATTCTTGCATGGATTAGTGTCCACATTTTTTTCTATGTCAAGAGCAACTTGAGAAACTACATGTCGCTTTTGGTGAGAGAATTGGCCGTCTGCAAGGACGTTGCCCAGGGGACGCCCAGATATTTTGATGTTTTACCATCCTTGTAGGAGACTTCTCTCACGTCCCTGCATGGGGAGGTGGAGTTGACAGACGGGAGCTCAACCCATTCTCCCTGGATTCAGACCTCTGAACTATTGGTCAGCAGTCCTGCTGGCACAAGGATTTAACCAATTGTGCCACTGGGGGCTTTAGTGTCCACATGTGACATCATCCCACTGGCCCAGAATAATTTTGCTGCACATCTTTTATTACAGATAATAATGTATTACACATACAACAAAACAGGATTCATGGTTTAGTAAACATGCCAGAAAATGTTGTTCATTGGAAGCAGTATATTTTATGCACTATCTTTTCTATCCCAGTGGACAAAAAAATATGAAGCACATTTTGTCAGTCATCTGTACGTATGAGTGTTGAACATATATTTAATGTATTAAAAATCTATGTAAAAGTCAAAGTCCATCTGTCCCATAAAGGCTAGGTGAGGTGGCCCTCTGTGACATCGCTAAGAATGAAAGGTGACATGTGTAAGAGAGAAAGGGAGGAAAGAGCCACAAAGAGACACATGTTCCTATGGAAGCAGAGGTGGAGAAGGAAGGAGGAGGACAGGAAAGAGGTGGAGGGAAGGGGAAGGGGAAGGGAGGAAAGGAGAAGAGTGGAGAGGAGAGGGGAGGGGAGGGGAGGGAGGAGGGAAATATGTGTGGGGAGGGAAGAAAAGAAAGAAAAGGGGATGAAAACAATGGGTATCAACAGGTGTGTGTATATATATATATATATTAATAAGCATTAAAAACAGTAGAAAGAAACCTGCTTGTGCTCTTTCTGTTTTTGTTGTCATTATGTACCTTCAAATCATTTTCAACCTAAGACTGATCTATCACAGGCTTTTCTTGCAAGTTTCATTTAGAAAAAATTGTTTAGAAGAGGTTTGCCGTGACCTTCCTCTGAGACTGAGAGAGTTACACTAGGGTAAAATTTGGCACAAGAAGGATAACAACAAGATTCCTAACAGTGCCCAAGCCAAGAAAATTCATACTTAAACAACTTGCCTTATATGCATCTGAAATCTTTAGAATGTTCTGAAAGAATATTGTGACAAAGCACAATATTATTTCATTATTTTGCAGCTTTCATTATTTTGCAACTTTTTCACCATTTCAAAGCAGAATGGAATTTCTGAATGAACCCACAGCAACCACTCGGATGCAACATTGGTGAATATCCCCTAAGATGAGAAGTACACAATTTAAAGCGATAGGCCCAATTTCACATCCATCTCATTTTGATCGCTATTCGATTACTACCTATTACTAGATGCTCGTGCTTCTAAATTAATATCTCAAAACAAACAGTGTTGGGGATGGAGAAGACAGACGTTTCTTTCCTGCCCTTGAATGCAGGACACTAGTTTCCAAGTCAGCACTACAGCACAGCTGGATAAGCATTAATTATTATTATTATTATTATTATAACTTTATTTGTACCCCGCTAGCATCTCCCGAAGGATTCGATGCGGCTTACACAGGCCGAGGCCTCAACACACAATATAGCAATACAAACTAGGCATAAAACAGTCAAGCAAAAACAATGACAGCAGCAACACGACAAGACATTATTAAAAACTGAGTTGGCCGAAGTAGGGTACAGGGTTAAAAGTGCTGATGTGTCGGAGGGGTGTGGGATTATAATAAAAGTGCAGTGTGCGGTGATCTTGGGAACTAAAGTGCTTCTGGGATTTGGTCCTGGGGGATTCCTAATCTGAAAAGGCACATTGGAACAGCCAGGTCTTCAAATTCTTTCTGAAAACTACCAGTGTAGGGGCTTGTCTGAGATCTTTCGGGAGGGTGTTCCAGAGGCGGGGGGCCACCACGGAGAAGGCCCTGTCTCGTGTCCCCACCAAGCGCGCTTGTGACGTGGGCGGGATCACGAGCAGGGCCTCCCCAGATGACCGGAGTGAGCGTGTGGGTTCGTAGACAGCGATGCGGTCACGCAGGTAGGGTGGTCCCAAACCGTTCAGGGCTTTGTAGGTAAGCACCTGCACCTTAAATTGGGCTCGGAAATAAACGGCAGCCAGTGGAGCTCCTTAAACAGGAGGGTTGACCTCTCTCTGTAACGGGCCCCAGTTAACATCCTGGCTGCCGCCCGTTGGACCAGTTGGAACTTCCGAGCCGTTTTCAAGGGCAGCCCCACGTAGAGCGCATTGCAGTAATCCAGTCTAGAGGTGACTAAGGCATGGACCACCCCGGCCAGATCAGCCTTAGCGAGGTACGGACGTAGCTGGCGCACAAGTCTCAATTGTGCAAAAGCCCTCCCGGTCACCGCCGAAGCCTGAGCCTCAAGCGTGAGCGATGAATCCAGGAGGACTCCCAAGCTACGGACCTGTGGCTTCAGGGGGAGTGTAACCCCGTCCAGCACAGGTTGCCACCCTACACCCCGATCTGGCTTACGATCGACCAGGAGGACCTCTGTCTTGTCGGGATTAATCTTCAGCTTGTTCGTCCTCATCCAGATAGACACAGCGGCCAGGCACTCGTCCAGCACCCGAGAGGCCTCCTTGGAATTGGGTGGAAAAGAGTAGTAGAGTTGTGTGTCATCTGCGTAGAGATGGCACCCAACTCCAAAACTCCGGATGACCTCTCCCAGCGGTTTCATGTAGATGTTAAAGAGCATGGGAGAAAGAATAGAGCCTTGCGGGACCCCACAGGTCAAAGGCCAGGGATCCGAGCAGGCATCTCCCAGCTTCACCATCTGAGTTCGTCCCTCCAAGAAGGACCGGAGCCACGACAGAACCGTGCCCCCGAGACCCATCCCAGAGAGGCGACCCAGAAGGATACCATGATCGATGGTATCGAAAACCGCTGAGATGTCTAAGAGAACCAGCAGGGTCACACTCCCCCTGTCCAGTCCTCTACGGAGGTCATCCACCAAGGCGACCAAGGCTGTCTCGGTGCCATGACCAGGCCTGAAACCAGACTGTGCCTGATCTAGGTAATTGATGTCATCCAGGAAGCCCTGGAGCTGGAGGGCGACCACCCGCTCCAGCACCTTACCCAAAAAAGGAAGGTTGGAGATCGGTCTGTAATTGTTCAGCACCGTAGAGTCAAGGGACGACTTTTTTAGGAGTGGGCGAACCACAGCCTGTTTCAAGTTAGATGGAAAAATCCCTTGCTCCAACGATGCGTTAATAATCAACACAAACCAATCAACCAACCCCTCCTTGGCAGATTTAATGAGCCAGGATGGGCAAGGGTCTAGGGCCGAAGTGGTCGCCCTCACAGCCCCAAGGACCTCCTCCACGGTCTCAGGTAGAACAAGCCGAAAAGAATCCCACAAAATTGGACAAGCAGATGCCTCAGTCACCTCCTCTGGCACTGCGATGAAATTGGAGTCGAGCTCAAGACGTATCTGGGCAACTTTGCCTGCAAAATGGTGTGCGAAATCGCAACACCGAGCTGCTGGGTCGTCAGAGATCTCCTCCACCACAGGTGGGTGAAGGAGCTCCCCAACAACCCGAAACAGCTCTGATGACCTATTTGCTGCAGACGCTATACGGGTGGTCGTGAAAGATTCCCTGGCCACTCGTATAGCCACGGAGTATGCCCTAAGAGAGGCCCTAGCCCGTGCTCGATCAGACACGCCCCGAGATTTCCTCCACTTGCGCTCTAGCCCCCTTCTCCTATGCTTCATCACAGCCAACTCCTCGGTGAACCATGGAGACGGCCTGTCACGTTGCAACGAGATGGGGCGTTCGGGAGCGATCGTATATATCGCCCAAATGTATTTTGGAAAAGACAGTTTCAGGATTCTTCCAAATTCTCTAAACTGAAACACAGCTTATCTGCAAAGACACAGATCCCTCCTCATTATTTCCTAAAGATATCGTCCAAATAAATATGGAAAGGTGCAACATATTATGCAGATAACTTCTGAGATAAGAGACCTGGCTCAACAGGACCTGCCAACAGTAACTCAGCTTCGGGCAAAATACATTCCTGCACATACATACAATTTTGGTGTCCAAGGAACCTTTCAAGAGATTTTCATATTCTCTTTCTCTAACACAAATGTCAAAGTTTTCTTCAGCACACAATAAGCAAAGGTGGTTTGCTAATTAAATTAAAAGAAATACAGTGCACGCACTGGTAACCTCAAGGTTGGACTTCTGCAATGCTATGTACATTGGGCTACCTTTGTACCAAGTACAGAAACTCCAGTTGATTCAAAATATGGCAGCCAGATTGGTCACAGGAACATCAAGGAGTGAGCATATTACCTTCAATTCAAGTAACTCTGCTGGCTACTAGTTTTCAGGAAAAGTATGAAGTGATGCTTTTGACCTTTAAAGCCCTCAGTCAGTGGTTCTCAACTTGCAGGTTCCCAGATGTTTTGGCTTTCAACTCCCAGAAACCCTAACAGCTGGTAAACTGGCTGGGATTTCTGGGAGTTGTAGGCCAAGACACCACAGGTTGAGAACCACCGCTCTAAGTGGTTTGGGTCCGATTATCTACAGGATCGCCTTCTTCCACACAAACTGTTCCTTAGGACTCTGAACACTTCCTCTTATTCCAACCAGCCTGAACCTGACTGGCAACCATCACCAAGAGAATCTTTTCATAAAGATAATTTTGTAAAAAGATAAAGAGCTCTTTATACAAAATTATTTTATGCTCTCAGATCGTGTTTTCCTCCTACATCTTTGTAGCTTGAAGGTTTTTTAAAGCAACATCACTACT